TTTTTAATTTAAAGGAAAAAAAAAATCTAAAAAAAAAAAAAAAAAAAAGGAAGGATAAAAAAATAGTACATTTCAAGGTATAGTGATAAGGGAATGTACAAAAGATCAGAGAACTGATCAATTTGAACAAATATGTATACTAAGTTTATAGTGTACATTTTCCCCTAGATCTTTTACCTTTTAATGACATACTTTAATAAAAGTATTGCATAAGCATTAAGTGAAAAACACTCATCTGAATTACAGTTTCCTCTTTTCCAACCTCCCCTGTTATCTCTTCCTTCATGAAGCTTTTCAACTAAACTCTGCTTTTGTTCTGTTTCCAGTAATACCAATTTATATATCTCTCTCTTAACAGACCTAGGTTAATTAAAAAAAAAAAAAGGCAAAAGCTACCCTTTATTGAGCTGGTATTGTGTCACAGACACTGTACTACAGTCACTGTTTCACAACTTTTACAAGCTAGGTTCTTTTCCTGTTTGCAACACAGCCCTCCCCCAATCCTTTTTCTTCCCTTCTCTGTTCTGCTGTGTTCCCCACCCCTCTGGCTATGAGGTGACTTTGGCCAACGGAAGGCAGGGCAAAGGCTTTCTGCTATTGCTAGTCCCCTAGCTGAATGAATCTTCAGCATCTCTTCCTCGTTCCCTTAACCCTACCTACACCTCTCTGAATGATCCCTTCATTAAGTTATCTTCAAATTCCAGCCGAGGGTATCTTGTTTCCTGATACAACCCTCATTGATATAGTAGGTGCTATTGTTATGTTACTCCACTTTACAAGTGGTGAAATTGGCTCAGAAAAGTTAACCAGAAAAAAGTCAACAGCTAAATAATTTGAGAGAGGAAGAGCAAGGATGTCAACAGTTGGGTCTATTTCCTAAAAATTAAGCTAATTCTAAAGGAAAGTCCAGGTATACCTGCTGAATATTTCTCTGCTCTATTTCTTTCTACCTCTGGCCCCTCTGCATTCTCCTTTATAACTATTTAATAAAGAGAATAAAATAAAGTCAAATTCTCTACCAAAAAAGCATTATTGCCAACTTAATTTACAGTTTCCATAACTTAGATATGAGGATACTTTTCAGAAACTATATAACTATACACTTTATAAACAATGAAAAACTGAATTTGTTTTCTAAATCAAGTTTTGCCACTAAAACTTTTTTCCACAAATCACTGATTTTTATCCAAAGTATTTGCCTGGGTTAATATTATACTCCCTTGAAATACAAACATCAGTAATCTTATGGAGATTATCTTATATTTGCCCTCAGAAAAAGAATGTATTTTTACTCCACAGATACATAGTCAAAAAGCTGGAGTTCAAAAGGCAGATCAAACATATTTTAGAAAAGATGTGTTTAACATGGCAGGTACAGCAAAGATTAAGTTTCTTTTAAGGAAGCCATGGTTTTTCTTGTTTCATGAAAACATGCTAAATGGTTATTACAGGACTACAAAATGAGTCCTCAGATAAAAACTTTAGAAGCCTAAAAATAAATGTTTATTTTTAGAATACCATATTCAAGTACTCAGCTTAGTTCACAGTTCTCCTTACATTCTGCCAATTTGCTGCATGTTTTTTTCATTATAACCAGGGTAACATCCTTCTGTTTGATTCCACTCCTTCTACTGTTATATTCTGTTTGAACTGCAAAATCGAATCCACTCTCAATTTAAAATATGATCAAATTTGTTCATAATATGCCCTGCCATTAGTCAACAAACATCTAACACACATCCCTAGAAACAATTTTACCTATGCTTTCCTCTAGTATTTTAATAGCTTCATTGTTTAATTCACTGATACATTTAGAATATAGTTGTCAGATATGAGAGAGAGAACATGCTTTTATTATTTTCTTCAAATGTTTTTCGGTTGTGACATCATCACTGAATAATCCACTCAGCTTTTCCTCACTGATGTGAATACCAAGTTTATCATAAACTAGATCCCCACATATATTTGAATCTACATATGGAGCCTATATATGGAGTTTGTTTTACCCAACTGTCTGGCTATCTTCTCCCGTACCAAATCTTTAATTATTGTGTATTTTAGAATACATTTGAACATCTAGTAGGGTTAGACTCTTTTTCTGAAAAATTTTGGCTACAGAATTTTTCCTGCCAGATGAACTTTAGTATATTATCCTGTTATGTTAAAAAAAAAAGTCTATTAGTTTAATTGGGCCTTCTATTCCCAGACAGAACTGAACAAAAACTATACTGTGTCACATAATAACAAACTGCAGAAGATAAAGACTAATACAAATTTATACTGGAAAAGAAAAATAAAGTGCCCATAGTTCCCTAAAATAACTCTGCTATCACGATTTTAAAACTTCTTAATCTGCAAATATTCAATAATTTTTAAAAAATTCAAAACTTTTCTAGGAACTTCATATATGGAAATCTCCCCTAGGTAAATAATCTAAAATAATGGAAAATTCAGATGCTTAGATAAGTTAGTTGCATTATATAAGAGAAAAATTAGAAACAATAGAGACGAAAGAATACAAGAAAAGGTAATTATCATTCATAGCCAGTGGAATAGAAAGCAGTGACTAAAATGATAATTATGAAGACCATGCAGCAATATGAAAAAAGGCACAACACAATATAACCATTAACACTTACCAAGTGTTTATGCCATGCAGTGTATTGAGTGCTTTAAAAGCATTATCTCATTGAATCCTTATAATAACATCTTTATATCTATCACTGGTCCAGAGATAGTAAATGAGAGACTCAGGATCAAACTCTGGTCTCTCATTCCAGAGACAAAGTATATTAGGATGTGTTTATTTGAGTGGATAATGAAAGAAGAGAGCAGGAGAAACTATAATGAAAGGGTTTCATTGGTTGTTTTTTTGGTTTTGTCTCTGGTTTCTTTAACAATTGTTATAATACAGTTTAGATAAAAATATAATTTTAGGGCTTCCCTGGTGGCGCAGTGGTTGAGAGTCCGCCTGCCGATGCAGGGGACACGGGTTTGTGCCCCGGTCCGGGAAGATCCCACATGCCACGGAGCGGCTGGGCCCATGAGCCATGGCCGCTGAGTCTGTGCGTCGGGAGCCTATGCTCCGCAACGGGAGAGGCCACAACAGTGAGAGACACACGTAGCGCAAAAAAAAATAAAAAATAAAATAAAATAAATATATATATATGTATATAATTTTAAAAAAGGATTTTGAAAAAAATTTACCTCAAAACAACTTTAATGTGTGCACTGCATATACCAATGATGGGTATTATTTCACAAAACTTTTTTCATTTCCTTTCGTTTATGTGCACACAGAGCAAAATGTGTTTCTCACTGTGGACTGTAATCCAAAAGTCAGAATCACTGCTTTATATCATACACACAAGGTACTGTAATAATAAAAGTCAACAAATCTATCAGTCAGTAAGAATTCCAAGAAGCCTGGAATGTTAACACAGTCTAGATAATGGCTGCCCAATAAAACTTTCTCCAATAAAGGAAATATTCTCTATCTTCACTGTCTGTACTGTCCTATACTGTAGCCACTAGCCATACTGGATCTTTAATTTAATTTAATTTAAATGCCACATGTGGCTAGTGACTACCATATTGGACAGCATAGCTCTACCATTTGCTCCTACTTATACTATACATTCCATGTAGGTAAAAATCAACCAAACAAAATCTTACCTAAAAATATGGCAAAGCACTTCATGTGAAAGTTGATTCATATAGTCCTTTGTTTCATCTGATATTGTTTCTTCAGGAATATCATTGTTCATGAGACACGTTTTAACACTTTTCTTTCTTGGACCCATTGCTGCGTTATCTCCAGTATCAAAGAGCAAATCTCTCCTTTTGGTTACTTGAGTTCAAAGACCTGAAAGCAAGCAGTGATTAGAGCAGACTAAAACACACGAAACCCAGATGCAGAAATTATCTTGGTAAAACAATGTTTATTTTAGAATACAGACACACAAAGGTAGTGCTATTACAATGGTACAGACTACATTCAAATTAATAAAAAGACTACACGAAAAGGCACAGAACATCTTTTTTCTGAACAGCAGTAGAGATAAAAATGCATTACTTAGAATGAGCAAAAATCCAAGGAATCGGGAGTTCTGGATTCTATTCGTACTCTGTTGCTTCCTAGCTAATTCACTCAATTTCTCCAAGCATCAAATTCCTCATATGTAAGATAAGATTAAACTAGACAAACAAAACCCCTTCCAACTCCAGGAGCCTGTGATTCTAGGACTGCCCCTAACACAGCAGAAAGGAGAAGACTCTCGGATTCTAGTCCTGGATCTGCCACAAACTACTTCTATGAACTTGAATCACCTTTTAAATTCTTCCTTCTCCCACCTATGAAGTGAGGGGATCAGATTTCACTGGTGGGTCACATATCCCTTTATGAATTTGATAAAAAGAAAAAACTATTAACCTTCTCCACAAAAAGCAATAACCAAAAAAACTACTTAATTTTACATGCAATTTCAGAGGAAGAATAAAACAACCCTTCTCCCTCTCCCTCTCCCATAAGTATTAAGGAGCAGAGGTTAATTCACTTTTGTATCAGATGTATGTTTTGTTTGTTTTTAAAATAAGCTTTAGTGAGGGAGGAAGAAGAGAAAGGAGGAGGAACGGAGTGGGGGAAATAACATAAAAGTCAGATGAGCGAACTTCTGCCCAGAGGTTTGTTTTATTTTGCAGATCAGGTTAAGAGGGAACTATGTGAAAACAGTGTCCTTTAAACAGCATTATCAATTATCTCTGGTAAAATTCGGAAAACTTATCTGGATTCAAAGTGAGAGAACTGTAGAGTTCAGAGCTTAATCATGCTACAGTGATGCAAAGAATTGCTGTCGCAAATCTGTCAATCTCTGGATTAAACAGTGTTTGCTCCATTTTATGCACCAATGCTTTTTCTTTATTATAATCTGTTACTATCAAAAGTTTCTAAAGTGGACCCCATGCTTCCATTTTCTTACAGAGTTGCAATAAAAGTGTAATCTTTTCTTGATGACCTGAGGTTATCATTTGAATATACATTATATTCTGCAATATAGTCTCAGGGACTCCTGAACTATATGGAGTTTCTGGGGTTCCTTTGCTTCAGCAGCATATGGGAGCAAACTACAAGGCTAAGTGAATTCTTTTATTTCGCGCGCGCGCGCGTGTGTGTGTGTGTGTGTGTGTGTGTGTGTGTTTTCTGGTCTCTTCTTCCCTCACTGAAAGGTTATGCACTGTGACTTCTGACAGGTGTCAGCATGCTTGCTTCTCCCTGCACTCCACCCAAACACACACACACACAAACACACACTTCTAATTTGCTGCTTCTAATAAGCTATGGCCTGGGAAACCAAAGAAATAAGTTTTTAGAATTGTGTGTGGATTAATATCAACAGGCAGTTAGTAGTATGGACTTAAGGAATTCTGCAAAGAGTAGGTACATGAGCTACAGTTCACTGAATTTGTTTTTAAAGAAATTTAATACACATGATCAAACAGAAACCAAATCAGCCTACAAGAAATCCTAGTTTGCAGAGGATAAAATCTTTCCAACCTGACCAAGCCACCTTTCCAATCTCATCTTTCACTTCTTATCACTTGCTCACTCCAGCCACACCAGTATCCCAGTTCATCCATTTGTTTAACATTCATCTTTTATTCCTAGTAAGCTATTAAATCTGGCTAGAATGTCCTTCCCTTCCTTTTTTTTTTGGCCTGGAAAACCACTATTCTGCCTTCAAAATCTAGTTAAACGTTAAGTCCTCTGAAAAAACGTCTCCTACTAAACTACTCTTCTGAGCTCCCTGTGAGACTTAACTAACATTAGCTTCTCCCATAGCAACTTGGATAGTATTCTATTGATCATGTCTCTGCCAGGAAAAGGAAAAGAATCTCAATCTCCTGCCACTGGGTGATAACAAATCACACGTGTCTGATGTGTGAATATCCATCAGTCTTTCCATTATTCCATATGCACCCAGTAGCTGCAAGGCTGCTAAGAACCATTTCACCCTCCTATTTTTGCCACCACAGCACTCAGTGATCTCAGAAACAAGCCTGTAACCCTGGCAAAAATGCAATCATACTTTACTCCAATAGGAACACATAACAATTAGCTACACTGAGGCATTCAAATACGTTGACAAGGCTATAAACCAGTACAGATCAATCCAACCATGGATTAATTCTCCAGCTATGTTATTTAGCACATGCTTCACCTTTTACACCCTCACCTTTGACAACTCTAACCATTCATGGATACCACGTTCTTGATTTCATCCTCTAAGTAAAAATCTTTCTTGGCCCTTCCCCCTTCTTTTCCTTCAGCAAATCCACACCACTTAATAATTTCCACCCTCATCTTATGATTCCACCTTTTATTGCTCCTTATTTTGCAATACTGTGGTTTTGTGTGAATCAGATTTAGTAGCTCCAGTGCACAACATACACTTGAAATTTTAAACCAATAGATTGCACTGTAAATATCACTGAGTTTATATAAAGTTCCCTTGTTTAGAACTTACAAAAACATTTACTCACAGATATGACATTATACAACATTATAGAGAGGTTAGGTTAAGTCTCCAGCAAGCCCACAAAGATCCACTTAACCTGCTATGCATTAACACTACTACCAAAGGGCCTAAATTAAGAGGACTACAACAAAAATTTAGGTGAAATTGTAATATAGTTCCCATATCACATCTAGAATTGAAAACTTGGTCATAGAGCTACTTATTTGGTAGCAGGTGGAGTAGTGACTCCCCTGCTACAAGGCTTCAGTGGGAAAGGGACTTGTGGAGATGAACGTTGGGGTAAAGGATAAGACCGCCATCTTCCATCTATTAGGGGCTTTAACAGCTCAGGACCCATAGCTGGGGGAAATTCCTCAGTCCTCTCCAGTCCAAGTAGGTGCCCCTGGCAATATTAAGGAGATAAAAGGCTCATTCAAGGACTCAATTATGTGCCCTCACCACCATTCAAACTCTACTTAAAAAAACAAACAACACAACCAAAAAAAACCACACAACTGTTTCAACTAAAGCTGGCTTCATCATCACTTAAGAGAAATACATGACTGGACTAGGCTGAGAGCATTTCATCCCAGGCACTGAGTACAGAGGCCTGGTATCCCTGTTTGAAAAGAAAACACCATGAAAGATGGAGACCTAGTGATGACGGAGTCTCTCTTATATGTGCATGCTCTCTCTCAATTGCTTGTCTTTTAGTGGGATGAGGGATAAAAGCAGGTGAGAATAGAAAACTGCCATGACTGGTCTTCTATGTCTTGGTTTCTTCCTACCCCTATCTCCAAAATATGACCACTCACCACTTGAGAAACTCAATAAGGTAGAGAAGGTCCAAAGCAGCAGCAAGTAGAAAGAGGAAAAGAGGGAAATTCCAGTTATCAACAGTAGATAAAGATGACACACAGGAACGGGCCTAGCAGAGGAGTTATGGAGGGTAAGGGAGAGGTGAGTATAAATAACAAGTGGGTATAAATATGCAGAGGCTATATTTTGCAGCACTAGGTGTCATTTTTTAGGGTCAGCAAGTCCTGGAGGCTGAGATTTTAAACCTCAAAGAAATATCATTTTGAATCCCAGAAAGTTAAAAGGTGAAGAGTCCTTCACAGACTTAAAGGGTCACACAGTTCTTAATTTTTTGTGGGTCACAAACCCATCTGAGACTATGATGAAAGCTGTACATCACCCCAAGACAAAAACAAAACACACCCAGACTCATGTATAATTTCAGGGGCTTCACAGAGACATGGAAGCTCATCCAGAGGACCCTATCCAAGGCTGGTCCCTCAATTTTTAGATGGGCAAACAGAACCAGAGGGTATAAGTCACTTGCCAAGGGCATATATTAAGTGTCGGAGTTTAGGCTGGGATTCAGATTTCTCAGCCTACACTATACAACCTGTCATCAAGTCAATCCTTTGCACCTCAGCTAGCTGCCTACATTCCAGAGCTATGCCCCAGTGCTTGGAGATGCACTTCTCGATGCTCTGATAGAACTGCTGCTGACCACACCCTCCTTCACAAATTAGAGCTTGTGGTCCATCTAATTTGGCTCACACACAGTAGCCTACAGCAGCCCTGGGTCTCCCACAGTCATCCTGTGGCTGGCTGTTTAGCAGACCTTAGCCACAGGAAGCATCACTTTTGTCCTAGTGGCCCAAGTATGTTCTAAGTAGTAAGCCTGAATTGTTTCTGAGCATTCTTTAAACTTGAGAAACCCAACAAGGTAAGGAAGGTCCTTCTCATTAACACGTAGGTGTGCTCCTCTCCTTGCAACCTGCCAGTTCAAATCTCCTCCTATCCCAAACTAGACTACACTATCCTCTACTAAGTTAATTCATTCTGGTTGCTCCCAGATTTATGCCTATCTTTTAAACCTTAACCCTCCAGGCTACTCCAACCTCTTGTTGAGGAGCACCAACATTTCCTTGCTTGCAAAAATCATTTTCCTTTTGATTCCCTACTTTCATTACAGAGGTTTTAACATGTATTGTACACAATTCTGACAATTGTTGATACCTATAAAAGTCCTATATAAACCTACTCTTTTACTCCCTAAACGCACAACTTAGAAATCTTCTTATACCTGTTCCATCTTGTCAACATCCTCTTTCATCCCTGTCTTATTCTACTAATTACTCTCTTACTCAGATCACACTGGATCCTCCAAGGTACGTGTTTGTGTCTTACTAACATACCTTATAGGGCAGCGATAAACCGACTTACCGTACAACTAATGAGAAAACTTAAGGACCTCTTCTTTTATGAAACTTTCACAATGCTGAATCAATTTCCCCATTCTGTATCTAATTAATAGCAATTTTTAAAAGAGTTTCTCCAGAGAATTGTTATTTTCTATCTGTTCATCCGTCCACCCAACCAACTCCTCACTCGACTACTTTTTTATTGCCTATTAGGTGCCAGGTGGTGACAAAGTCTTTCCTCCCATGAAGCTTACAGTCTCACAGTGGAGACAGATTCTACCAACAGTTTCTGACAACTCAGACACTTCAATTACTATAACTTAAATTCCCCTTCATTAACCTCACCAAAAATATCTCTCTCCCATTTAAAACTTTCCAATGTCTTCAATCATCCTATCTGGTCAAGGGCTCCCCTGCCCTTCAGGTTTCTAACACCTTTCTTTAGTTTCTATTGGCTTCAGCTTGCTCATATCAATGTATGCATTGATATGCATGTCAATTTGACACCATTCCTCATCACAGATCTTCTATGTCTACTTCCTAGAACATAAAACAGCCTCTCTTGCCTAAAGAAATGCCGCACCACATCCACCAAGCTGGTCAAATAAAAAACAAATAAGAAAACAGAATTATAGTACTGAAAATGTCCAGGAGTCATCCAGTCCAATCTCTCATTTTCCAAGATAAGGAAAGTAAGAACCAGAGAGGTAAGCTGCCTTGCCCAAAGTCACAAACCCAGAAAGTATCAATACCAGTGCTGAAACAAGGATCCATGTCTTTAACTCTAGTTCAAGTTCAATTTTATTTCACTATATGTCACTTTTCCTTACTGTAATCTAGCTTTTCCTTCTTCTCCCATTGTGAATCTTTTTTTAAGTAAAGTGTGTACTTCCAGGCACACAGTCTTTTAAACAAACACACAAAAGTCTATATTCTTTACCCAAAGAGGACATAAGAATCACAGCATCACAAATTTTCAAGAGAAAAAGCCTTAGTGATAACCTAGACCAGTAATTGTCAAAAAGTTAAAAATTACAAGCACAGATTTTTCAATCTATATGGCTACATAATATGTACTCTCCACACCTCACCTCTTCCCTCCCCCAGAAAATCATGGCTTTATGGAGCCATTATTTTATTCTTCATTCGTGCAGACTATGGGAAAGGGGATTAAGAACCTGTGACCTAATCTAACTTATTCGTTTGTCAGATGAGAAATCTCCAGTCCAGAAATAGGAAGGTAAACCAGCAACTTAATAGCAGTTTTAATATAAAAAACAAAGGTTTCCTATGTTTCATATTTGCGTGTTTTACACTGCTGGTATAGGTTTCTAAAACAAAGTCTTCAGGTCAGAGCTTTCCACTACACAGGAAACATAGGAATCTTACGAAGTGCCAGTTGCCCTTGGCCGATTTGGCGTCTGGAAAGAAACATGGTAGACACCTCTGAAAAGTCATCTCCTGGCTACACAAAATGCAGGGAAGAGATGCTTTTCTGGCCTGTCTCTAAGGTAAGACTCCTTGAAAGGGAGTTGAGAACCTGATTTTAGAGCTAGGAGGGGGATCAGAAGCATCCAACACCTTCGTTTTACAGATACGTAAACCGTGGCACAGAAAGGGTAACGGACCTGGGCAAGGTCAGAGAGTGAGTCGGTGGACGAGGTAAGTCTAGAACTCCGGGCTCCCAATCTCTTAGCTGGCCGCCTCTCAAAAATGTATTCACTGCGTCCTGCTCAAAACATCTCAGTAAGCTGACTACAGGCCTTAACACACCAGCTTAAACACTGGCTTAACGTTAAAATCGTGGAACTTCTGACGCCCAGAGTGGGATGGGGTCCCAGAAGTTGGCCAGGCCAAAAGTCCCCATTTTGTTGAGAAAATCAAGACTCAGGGAGGGTTCTGTATCCTGGGATCTTGGACCAGATTCAGGCAAGGTGGCAAACCCTGTCACCAGGGCCTAGAAGGCCAAGAACCACAAACCCAATCCCGGCTCTTCGGGGAGCTCTAGGCCCGAAAGGGGCCGAAGACCAAGAGCCCGAGCGGTCGGGGGCCGCAGAGCCCCATCCAGCCGCCTCCACCCGCCGCACGCACCCCGGGCTCTGCAGTCCGCCGCCCGCCCCGGCCCATCCGTCCGCCGTCTCACCTACGCCAGCCCTCCGTTTGTTGTAGTGGTGGAGGGAGGGAGAAACGCAACATACACTTCCCGCGGCCCCCACCGCCGGGGCGCTTCCGCTTCCGCCGCCCCTCGGGCACTTCCGGAGTGTTGGTATCCCGGGCTAGGGCCGCTCCCCATGCCCATGCTGGGTGTGGGGCGCGGGTGTCCAGGCCCGGCAGCCATGTTAAGCGTGGCGTTTCGGAGCGCGCTGGGGGCGCGTCCTTCATTCACGTGACAGCAGCGCCACGCCCAAAGCGTCTAGCGTCGGACGCCGGATAAATGCTCGTGATTCTGTGGTTTGTTTTTTGTTGGCTTTGGGTGAGCTTTCGGTCTTCGCGTTTCTCGTTTGTAAAGTAGCGAGCTAGGTTCCAGTAGAGATATTTCCAGAATTCGTTCACCTGAAAACAGAAAATCTTTTTCTTTTTGGGGGGGTGAGGCAGTTAAAGATGTCAATGTTAAATCAGCCCTTCCCTACTTTTGGTGCATTGTCTCTACACGTAATTTACAATATTTTATAGTTTCCAAAGGGTTTTCACGTCATTGTCTCATTGAAAACTCCCTGACACCGTGACGTATGGGCAGGAGTCAGTTTAACCCGTTTTTTTTTTTTTCCTTATAAAAATTATCTTTAGAGAGGATATGGACTGAAAAAAATGCACAACCTGGAAGTTGAGAATTATGTTTTATTCAGCGCACTTGCTGAGGACTTGAGCCCGGGAGACAGCCTCTCAGATATCTCCGACGGACTGTTCTGAAGAGGTAAGGGAGGAACCAAGATATGTAGGAGATTTTGCAAAAGAAAACAAAAACAAAACGCAAAATAAAAACAGGTAGTCGAACATGAAAATATTACTGCTGATTAAAGAAAAAACAGACATGTCAAATTAGTGACTTTAGCTCTTTTTTATGTATGAGAAGATGTGAGAATCTGGGCTCATTGAAATCATTCCTTTGATATGTACCATAAGTGTCTAGGGTCTGTAATCCTGTTTTTCTCCATCCTGACTCCCCTTAGGGTGCACCTTCAGGGACAGCTGCAGTGATTGATGGCTTGACGGCCACACCATTCTTTGTTAACTGAAATGGCAGGCAGCATTCGATGTCTACATAGGTAATTTCTCAGTGTCACACAGCTAGACAGAAACCCAGATTTTTACCCTCCAAATCCCGAGTTCTTGCCCCTAAGTACAGGTAACCGTTGAATATCTCTGGGATTAGGGGCCAAAAATTCACTTACAACTTTAAAGTAGGTCCTCCGTATTGCAGTCCACATCTGCAGGTTCAACCAACCATAGAGTACTCACTCTGTGACCTTGAGATGTCAGCTCTAAGCCTTGGGTTTGTTAGGTAAAAATGGACATCCTTGTGGTACCTGCATAGCAAACCACTGCAGAATTTAGTGGCTAACACAAATAATTTGATAGGATTCTGTGAGTTGGCTGGGCTCGGCTGGGCAGTTCTAGATTGGGGTTTCATGCATTTGAAGTTCGATGTCAGCTGAGACTTTAGTTAACTTTGGGCTCCAATGGAAATTATATTGTAGGCACTTTAAGGTGTAAGCCCTCTAGGGGCTCAGCTAGAACTATCCACCAGAGTGCCTACACATGGTCTTCTCCCTCTGGTTTGGATCTCTCAGGGCAAATCGCTGGGTTCTGATAGGGAACACTCAGAAATGGAGCAGAAAGTGAGCTGTTCCAAGCCGTACAGGAGGAAGCTCAAGGACAGGACTTCATATGATCTAGCCTTGGGAGTAGAAGTTACTTCTGTCACATTTTGTTAATCAAGGAATCTCCCCAGATTGAAGGGGAGATAGGGAAGATTCCTCCTCTTAATTGAACGAGTAGCAAAGAATTTATGGCCATCTTTAATTTACCACGCTTTACCACGCTTTAATTTACCTCATTTGTTTGTTTTTAACTGTTTGTTCTTGGAGGGATGTATGTAGATTTTATTAGCACATGCATCAAAAAGGAAGGCTGGTAGCCCCACCAGTACAGTCTTGAGTCTGTTCCTGAATGATTCTTTACATGATTTCTTTTTAATTTCTTTTTAATTTTTTAATTAATTTTAATTCTTTACATAATTATTTTTAATCTTTTTAATTGTGGTAAAATACCATTTTAACCAATTTTATGTTTACCATTTTAACCAATTTTATGTGCACAGTGGCATTAAATACCTCATTGGCATTAAGAATATTTACATGGTTGTGCAACTGCCCTGCCATCCACCTCCAGAATTTTTTCATCCTCCCTAACTGAAACTCTATGCCCACTAAGTAACAACCCCCACCTGCCCACCACAGCCCTTGGCAACCACCATTCTACTCCCTGTACCTCATATAAGTGGCCTCGTACAATATTTGTCCCTGTTTGTTTGGCTTTTTTCACTTAGCATAATGTTTTTAAGGTTCATCCATGCTGTAGCATGTGTCAGGCTTTTCTTTTTAAGGCTGAATAATATTGCATTGTATGCATGTGTTATATTTTGTTCGTTCATCCATCAATGGACATTTGGGTTGCTTCCCAAACATCTGTTGTGAATAGACATTTGTGAATAATGCTTCAGGTAATATTAGTGTGCAGATATCTCTTCTAGATCCAGCTTTCCATTCTTTTGGATGTATACCACAAAGTGGGATTGCTAGATCATATGGTAATTTTTAATTTCTCCATAGCAGTTGCACCATTTTACAATCTCACCAACAGTGCAAGGGTTCCAATTTCTCCACCACCTTTCTCTCATTTGTGTTTTGTGAGGTAATATTTGTAATCCACTTAAAGAGTGCCTGGCACACAGCAAATATTCCGCAAAGGTTAGATGTTACTGTTTGATTCTTCAGAAGCCTCTTTTTCTTCCTTCTTCTCAGCAGTGTTTGAAGTTGCAAGGGCTGAATTCTTAGCATGTGATATTCTTAGCATGTGATATTCTTAGCATGAAGTTCACTTTCAAAAGCATCATAAATTTTCCCAAGTTACATAAGGAAATGCTGTGAAAGGATGTTGTACATAGGTATGTGCATAGGGAATCGGAGTTTCAAAGCCAAACACAAGGTGGTAGATTAGACATGCACACACAGAAAAGGAAAAAAGAAAAGAAAAAACTGCATAGGAGGCTTTTATAAACATGAGGTCGGAGTGAGCATAAAGGAACAAGGCCCTTGTTTATCATTTTTAATTTGGACCATACTGTTCAAGATCAAGGTTATGTCCCAAGAAAGTGAAAAGATTTAGAATGAAACTTCAGAAACTCAAAAAGCTTTCTTTTAAATAATTAGCCTTGGTACTTCCCTGGAGGTTGAATGGTTAAGACTTTGTGCTTCCACTGCAGCGGGCACGGGTTCCATCCCTGGTCGGAGAACTAAGATCCTGCGTGCTGCATGGTGCGGCAGAAAAAAATAACAAATAAATAAATAGCCTTACTGTGTTTTCCCTGTCACTGCATCTAGTGCTGATCTTTTAGCCTGATCTCTAGAGGTGTGAGAGTAAATAAGTTGTTTTTTTAGAAAAAAAGTTGTTTGAAATGCCAAGAGCTATTTACCATCAGCCAACGTTTACTAAGAGACTACATGGGACCTGGGAATATATTAGACAGGGCTGCAGAGATGACTAGGAAACAGTCTCTGCTCCTAAGCAATCTGGGAGACATCATCTACAAGAACAGTTGAGTGAAATTTGGGAAATCCTGGCACAGTGGAATGTCAGGATGCCCCAGCAGCACAGAAGACACTGAGTGAGTCCAGGCTCTATGCAGCTACACTTGAAATAGTAATTACAGACACCCTCTTCAGCTCACTTCTCCTTCCCCCATGAGCTTCTCTGTCCCTACTTCTTAATTGTGTCTCTGTATCATCATCCTGGCTCTAGTGTCTCTCTTGCAAATTCTTATTGTTTTGTTTTTTATTTTTTTAATCAGTGTCTCTCTACCAACCCTTTTAAATACATGATTATATTTAATCCCTATGAACTCTGTAAGTATTGCTTGCCCCATCTTACAGGTAATGTAACTCAGGTTCAGAGAGGTTAAGTATTTTGCTAAAGCTCACACAGCCAGTAAATAAAGATAATCATTGTGAAATTTTCCCTGTCTTACTTCAAAACCCATATTCCTCCTGTGCAATCTTGTAATTTTTCCTCCAAATAACAATCTGATTAATCTTCCTAAAGCACACTGGGTAATGTGTCAATGGCTCATTTTTTCTTCAACTTTAAACCTTGAAGTATACATTTGTAACTTGTTACTCAGACTTCCAAGGCCCAGTATTCATCGGGTGCAGCCTACCATTTCAGTCTCATTTTGCTTCACAAACATCATGTCCTATGTGCACACAGGACTCACTGTTTCCCCTCACATACCCTATGACTCTCCTGACCTTGACTAAATGAGCAAGTTGCCCCCCCTATAAGTAGAAGGTGAATCAACCTCATCCAGCTGTTACAAGGAAAGAAATGGAAAGTGCTGGTGAACTGGGCCCAGCTAGGTGAGCCCAATACTGAGATGGAAACTGATCTTCCTTAAATTCCAAAAGTAGCAGGTAGAAAGCAGTTGTAGTTTTCAAAAGCTGGTTGCATTTTGAGCCTGACATGGTTCATTAATTCATTCAACAAATATTTTTGGGGCGAGGCATTGGACTAGGTGCAAGGGAACAATTATGATAAGTGGATATGTTTCTACCTGCAGTTTGGTAAAGGGAGACAATCAAACATCCAGGTGAATCAGTTTCTCAAACATAAACGGGGGCGGGGTGGGCACACAGTTAAGTTTAATTGAAAGAAGGGATTAAGGAAAGGATAAATACACTCAGTTTTTGCTTTTAAGCACTTCAATTGTTAAACAAAAAACCTTCACAAGTAAATGTTACAACTCTATTCAATTAAACATAAATATGGCAAATGACAACTTTTCAAAATGCCAATAACATTTACAGTCTTAATAAAATTTTTATTCTCTTAAAATTCTAAATTTAAATCAATAATTAAAAATTTCAAGTTGGAATCATAAGATTCATCCATCAATTCTTTACTATGCTATATTTTCTTAAAATATAAATATTTTAAATTACAATTATTTGTAGACTGTTTCTTAACCCAAAC